GCTATAATTCATCCTTAAAATTTTTTAAAAATTTGACAAAAAAATTGTTGCCCGGATACTTTTGGCAGGTTGGTGTAATAGTAATAAAAGTAAATTAAATTACTGTAGAGAAAATTAAGATTTATACCATGGGAACTATTTTAAATTTATATATGTAGTCCCCCCTGTTAAATTATCTATTAAATGATAATCGATAATTTTTTCGATAATTCTATAATTTCTTTAAAATAAAAAAAATAAAAAAATGGCATATCAAAGGCCTTTTCATTTAATTTATTTAGTTTCCAATTATTTAACAACTCGCTCTATTTCCTCTATATCCTTTATTCCCTCTATTTCCTCTTCTATCTCTAGTCGAAATAATATTGTTAATTCTCCAATTTCAATTATGAAAAGAACGTATACCAACAATCCTCATATGATAACACCTCCTGACACAGTAAAACTCGAATATTCAATATATGAACCTCCTCGACCGAGAGAAAGACCCGATTCTCCACCTATTATAATTTTACATGGGTTATTTGGTTCTAAACAAAATTGGAAAATCTTATCAAGGGCTTTTTCACACCGTTTAAATACACATGTATTTGCCTTGGTAACTTGGTATACTTTAATAATTAAATAAACATTCATTATTATTCAATTGATATAATCATATATATATATATATATATATATATATATATTTATATATATTTATTATATTTATATTTTTTTTTTGAGTTCTAGGATTTAAGAAATCATGGAAGTAGTCCACATTCCGAAATACATAATTATGAAATAATGGCGGATGATGTTAATGAATTCATACATGATCATTGGCTTAAAGAAGTTGTTATACTTGGACATTCAATGTGTGTTGAATAATTTATATTATATTTCTTAATTGATATATTTTTTTATTTATTTTATTTTATTTTATTTATAATATATTTTCATTATTCTCTCGGTTATTTTATTTTATTAGGGGAGGAAAGGTTGGCATGGTACTAGCATTAAGGCATGAAAAACGAATCGGTCAACTTGTGGTTGTTGATACCGCTCCGATTTATGCTCGTTTAAATGAAAATTTTAAAGACTATATAGAGGTTATGAAAGAAATTGAACAATTGGGTGTGACGACACGTAGGCAAGCGGATCAAGTTATGAGAGATTATATTTCCGTATGTTTTGAATGATTCTTATGATTATGATTATGATTATGATTATGATTATGATTATTATGATGATGATGATTATGATTATGATTATTATGATGATGATGATTATCATTAATATACTTAATCATATATAATACACAACAATACAGGATCACGTTCTTCGTCAATTTTTACTCACAAATCTTAAACGAGAAGCACATGAACAAAAATACAGTTTTCAAATTCCATTAGATATCCTTAAAGATTCTTTAGAAACATTAAGTGGATTTCCTTTCTATTCGGCTCATCAAGCTTTTCATAAAAAAACTTTATTTGTTGTTGGTACAAGATCAAATTACGTGCCTCCCAAGGTTTACATTATTTCTAAATTTATTAATTATTATTATTATTTATTATTTATTATTTATATAAAATTCCTTTTTTTTTTTTTGATGATAATTATGATAATTAGGTTCATCCTACTATAAGGACATTCTTTCCTAATGCGGTAATCGCAGAATTGGATGCCGGTCATTGGGGTAATAAATTAAATAAATTAAATTATTTTATATATATTTTTTATTTTATTTAATTTTATTTTATTTATTTATTTTATTATATTTTTGTCAATATTTACAGTACATACCGAAAAAACTACGGAATTCACAGTAATTGTAGCAGATTTTCTAAAGAACTATAAAAATGATTAATGATTATTTATTTTCTCCGGATTTTTTTTTTTTTTTAAAAAAAAATAAATAGAGATTCTTTTTTTTTCAAAAATATTTAAAAATAATTTCAATTGTAATAATAATAATAATAATAATAAAATTGAAATTTTGAAAATATATTTATATATATATATATCTGCTTTTTTTTTATTAATTAAATTAATTAATTTAATTTTAATTTAATTTTAATTTTATTACCTGTAAATTCGAAAATAAAAATAAAATAAATTCACACAGCCAACAGATCAGGATATTTTCGTAAGAAGGCTATCGCGCCAATAAATACACTAAGTGATATTACGATTTCAAAGTTGCCTTGACGTTTATCTGCTGCAAAAATTTCGTCACGAAGGAAACGAGAAAAAAAATTTCCTCCACTTCCTCCCGAACCACCAAGTTGTTGACCTCCTCGGTTAGTGGAAGTTGAAGGATTAGAAGAGTTCTGAGGAGAATTTGCTAAAGTTCTCTTCATACTTGATTTATATTTGATTTATTGGTTATATTTGAGTTATAAGTGATGTTCGAATTAGTTCTATTGTTAACTATATTTGATAGTTATTTTTTGATATATTTGCAGAATTTACGAGAATTGTACTAAAAATGTAAGAGAATTGATGTGTGTATATTAAAATGTGGTGGCAAATTATCAAAAATTGAACAAATCAACAATTGATAAGTTTTACGTATTACATGAAAACCATTTTTAATGAATCGTGGATAAAATTAATTGGTTCATTTAAAAAAATAAAATATTTTTTTTTTTATAAAATAAATTAAATTTGGATGATTGATCGTAATTTTTTAAATACCCACACACTTCACACTCACTTTACAACTTCGGGCTTTTTTTTTTTTTTTTTATTGATTTCTGATTGATTTCTGGCTTAACTAATTTCAATGGGTTGTAAGTATTCTTGATTGACTAATTTCCTCTTATCTATCTTTCTGAATAAAATAAATATGTTAACTTAAAATGATTAATATATCGAAAATTATTTAATAGTCCGATTTCTAAATCTCATCAGGCCTTTTATGGCCATACTTCCAGAGGTCGCGGCACCAGACCGAAAGGTATTGTATATATAAGAAAAAAAAGAAATATAGAAAAGTTTTTTTAGACAAATACGATGGTTATTAAAAATTATTAAAATTTTTATTATTTAAAAAAAAATATTATTCCAGGTCCCTTTTCGTCAAAAGGTGTTGTGGACAGCCGTCACACTATTCATTTTTTTGGTGTGTTCGCAAATTCCACTATATGGTATCATGTCCTCCGATTCATCTGATCCTCTTTATTGGTTACGTGTAATTCTTGCTTCAAACAGAGGGACATTAATGGAACTCGGTATTACCCCCATTGTAACTTCGGGTATGATCATGCAACTTCTCGCCGGTGCCAACCTTATTGAAGTCGACTTTAGCTTAAAGGAAGATAGAGCTTTATTTAGTGGAGCTCAAAAACTTTTTGCAATGGTTTTCGCTTTTGGTCAAGCCACTGTTTCCGTAATGACTGGGTTATACGGTGATCCCTCTGAAATTGGAGCTGGTGTTTGTTTATTACTTATAATCCAACTTGTGGTTGCTGGTCTCATCTCTATGCTTTTGGACGAACTTTTACAAAAAGGATATGGTTTAGGATCGGGAATTTCTCTTTTCATTGCCACCAATATTTGTGAATCCATTATTTGGAAAGCGTTCAGTCCAACCACTGTTAATACCGGTAGAGGTCCCGAATTCGAAGGAGCCATCGTTGCATTATTTTATTTGGTTTTCACTCGTAATGATAAAACTCGAGCCCTTAAGGAAGCATTTTATCGAACCAATTTACCAAATGTTATGAACTTAATGGCCACCGTACTTGTTTTTGCCATCGTTATATACCTTCAAGGTTTTCGAGTGGAAATTCCTGTCAAATCTAATAAATATCGTGGTCAACGTGGAACATATCCTATTAAACTTTTCTACACATCAAACATGCCAATTATGCTTCAATCCGCTCTTACAACAAATGTTTTCTTAATCTCCCAAATGTTGTATAATCGATTTCCCGATAATATTTTCGTTCGTCTCCTCGGTGTTTGGAGTGTACGTATTAACTTTAAATTCTAATTCATACTTAAAATTCTAATTCATACTTAATTTTAAATCCTAATTATATATTATTATTCTAATCATTACCAAATAATAATAATAATAATAATAATAATAATAATAATAATAATAATAATAATAATAATAATAATAATAATAATAATAATAGCCATATGAGGGTTCATCACAATTATTTGCATCAGGAGGTTTAGCTTACTTTATGTCACCACCGCATAGCATTACCGATGCTTTATTAGATCCAATTCACACCGCCATATACATTTTATTCATGTTAACCGCTTGTGCTCTCTTCTCAAAAACTTGGATTGAAGTATCCGGATCTTCGCCACGTGAAGTTGCCAAACAACTTAAAGAACAAGATATGGTTATGGCAGGACATCGAGAAGGTTCAACATACAAAGAATTGAAACGTGTTATTCCAGTTGCTGCTGCTTTCGGTGGTGCTTGCATTGGCGCGTTATCAGTTCTTGCGGATTTACTTGGTTAGTATTTATATAATTCATATATATATATATTTTTTTTTGAGATAATTTTTCGAGTGACTTATTTTTTTTTTTCCTTTTCTTAGGGGCTTTGGGATCTGGTACCGGTATACTATTAGCAGTTACAATTATATACTCATACTTTGAAATGTTTGTCAAGGTAAGAATTTTATTTTTTATTCTTTTTATTATTATTTTTATTATTATGGTAATATATTAAATGCCCACTTATTTCTCTCTCTTTCTCTTTTTTTTTTTTTATTTCTAACAGGAACAAGCAGCTGAAGGTGGTATTGATGCATTATTATTCTAAGAAAAGAGTTCCAATAATAATAAAAAAATATATTTATATATATTTTTTTGTTGTTGTTTTTGAACCATATATAAAGATAAAATGTAATTCCTTTTTCATTTGATTTTTTTATAACTTTTCTTTGTAAATTTTTTGAGCATTATTATTATTAAGTGTCAAAAAAAAATTATATATCATTTTTGCCCATTTTATTAATTGAAAAAAAAAACAAACAATATTTTCTCATTAAAATTTTAATCTTAGACTTTTTTTTAATATTTGATTATTTTCATTGGGTTTATATTATCTATTCTAACAGTTTTAATAATATCCGTTTGCATAAATTAAAAAAAAAAGGACATTAGAATTTTTTTTTATTATTAAAGAAAAAAAAACAATATACATTACACAATAATACTTTAACAAAATAAAATACCTAATCAAATAATAATATAGGGTGTATATTTTTAATTTTAAATATTACCTCTCTTTTTTCTTTTTTTTTTCTCTAAAAAACATAATAAATAAAATTGTTGAATAAAAAAAAAAAAATGCATTATATAAATTCTTAATGTAAGCGAAAATTATGTCAGTCAAAGATCAGCCGCGAAAAAAAAGTTCGTTTCGCCTTAAAAATGTAATATTATTTTTAAAGGTGACATTGTGAGAAAGTGATACCTCTAGTGATCAATTGGTGATTAAGAAAGTAAATTTCATCATGACGCGAATTTTAACTTGTTACCAAAGAAAGATAAGGTAGATCCGTGTTTTTAGAGATAATGATATGCGGTAAGTAGATATACACTATAAAAAATACTGACTTCGGAGATCGGCGCACGTTTAGAGAACTATATAACATAAATATGTTTTTTAACACTGTCTAATTATTGTATCTATTTCTGACACTTTTTTTTTTGATTTTGATTACATAATTCTTTTTGTTTTTGATTTGACAATGAAAGATAAAATTGAAGAAATGGCTCGCCAGTTAAAAAAATCAATACTGCGATTATGTCACATCTTATCAACAAAAATTATATGATAATTTGTTTAAAATGTTAAATTATATAACTAGACCTCGCATTATTAACATTAATTTTAACCCAATAATACCATTATTATCTTGTATACAAAGAAGATTTATAACTAAAGAATCTCGCAATCCCCAAAAAGATGCTAAAAAATCAAAAGAACTCGAAAAATCAAAGGGTAAATGAACTACTAATAATGATAACAGTAATGATAATTTTAATTTTAATTTTTGATTTATTATTATTTTAATTTTAATTTAATAATAATAATAATTGATGATAATAATATAATTTGTTACAATGAATTAAAATGTTATTTTTCTTAATTCACTTTTTTTTTTTTAGTCAAAAAAAAATCAAAGAGAACTGAACCTTATTTATTAATAAACGAGGTAAAAGAAAATTATTTTGTAAATCTTTTAATCTTTATGAAAAAATTTATTTATATAAATAAAATAATATACATTAAGGTTCATTCAATAGATGAAAATACAATTGGAATGATTATGACAAATCGATCACTCTCAAGAACTACTCGATCTACTTATTTTTCAGTTGCAGTTCGACCTTGGAATATAACTGACAAATATTTTAGTGAGTGAAAATAAATAAATTATTATAATTATATTGTAAAAGTTATCTAACAGTTGTCTAGCAGATTAACAATTGATATTTTATCTATTCAATATATATGCATAATAACATTTAGCCAAAAAAACCAAACAACCAATTACAACTTATCGTCTACAAACTGTAGTATCTAAAAAGAAAGTATGTAAACTAGCTGTAGTAAGGAATAGAATTAAAAGACGTATTCGTGAAGCAGCAAGATATGCCTTACCGGTTGTGGGAAGAGTTCGTAAGTTAACAAAAAATTTTTTTTAGAATTTTAGAATTTTTTTAATAACAATGTTTCTCACTCATCATCGATATTAGGACATGATTATCTTTTTTTTGCCAGCATCGAAGCATATTCTTGTCCCTGGCAAGACCTTTTGGATGCAGTAAAATTAGCGATAGGAGATCCGAGGTGTTATAAAAAAGAAGCGATTGGACGTGGTGGTGGTGGTGATTCACGTGGTAAAAAATTTGACGGAGGTATGGATGATCAAAGAAAACCACGAAATGAAGACTATAAGGATCGTAAAAATCATAAAGACTATAAGGATCAGAAGGAACGTAGGGACTATAAAGATCGAAAAGACCGTAATGACAAATAAGCAATACATATAATATTTGATGTTTTTATTCAGGCAAAGATTAATTATCAAACCTTATATAAAATTTTCAGGTCCCAGACTTTTCATTATTTTTAACATCTACTATTATTAATTAATAGAATTCTTTATTTTACGAATAGATCGAATGAATTTATTCAGGATTTTCTTGATTCTCTTTCACGGATTTCTTGCTCAAGTTTTCCTACTTCCAACATTTTATTTAATACCATGGTTTCATATGCATTAATCTAAAAAAAAAAATTGAAAAAGATATATATTTCAATAAAAAAAAAAATATAAAAAAATCTACATATTTATAAAAAAAAAAAAAATTACATTGAAATTAGGTTTCCTATAGATGGGAGGAAAATTCGAGGATGATGAATTATTGGTGGTGGAAGAAGAAAGTTTAGATTTTGCTATAGCAGCTTGTCTTAATCTTTCATCTCTTTCTTGTCTTCGTTTAAGTGTCTCTTCTCTTAAACGTTCAATCTGAGAAATAATAAAATTTATTAAAAATTACAATTTTACGTGAATCAACAATTAATAAATAATTTTTTTTTAAAAAAAAAACCTTTGCTTTTGATTCTTCCGTAAAAACTGTTTTTTTTGCTTGCTTAGCAATCTTTTCTCCTTCCTCAAGTTCTATAATAACCCAAATATAATGAAATAATTTAGACATTGAAAACATTGAGATCACAAAATATTGAAATGAAAATTTAAAGATTTATTTTACCTTCTTTCATAGCTTTTCTCTTTGTATCCAAAGCCTCATATCTTTTCTTAGCCGCAATACGTGCTTTATGTAAAGTATCATATTCTAATTTTTTTTTAGGATCAATCAAAGTTTGGTATGCCTTCGAAACCAAGAGAAATTTATTTGTGGCTAAGCAATAATAATAATCATAATAATCATAATAGTAATTAAGGTATGTTAATATGGTGTTAAACGTGTCTTTTATATGAAATAAGATCCAAATAGATCAAATTAAGTTATAGAAACCTTCTAAAGTATTATCCCGATTTTTGTCAGGATGAAATCTTATGGCAGCACGACGATATGCTTTATCGATAATTTCTCTTGTGTCATTGTAAGTAACATCTAAGAGTTCGTAGTAATCTATTTCTTGATCGGAACTCATTTTTTATTTTGTTAAAATGAATGAAATGGGTAGCGTAGATTTTAATTTCCGTCACGTTGATATCGTGATTCCTAGCAGATCGTTTGTAACCCTAATTAATATGATCTCTTTTATTATTCTGATTCACCTCATAATATGCATACACGAGATAAAAAGAAAGTGAACAATAATGCAAAAACTAGAACCGTTATGCTAGTGCCGAAATTTATTATTAATAATGCAATTCATAGTGGTGCGGTATTACAAATGGCAAAACAAGATAAATATTTTATGATAGGTGATATAGTTTATGTGACAATTTAAGAAGATTTTACTTGGAGAATGAGAGAAACTACTCCCGAAATTGTCTGCACCATTGTAAAAAACCCTAGAAAGACTGAAAAAATAATGAAGTAATAATCTACCGGTTTGTAAATTCGTCTATGACTCGCTTTCCTTTGAAACCGAAACCAAAATGAGTTGATTTTTCGTTCCAATCCAAAAAACTTATCAGCCAACACAGTGTAACCATGATCTTTTGCTAACGCATTGTTAACATTAAAAATTGCATCATCCAAAATATTAGACCCCTTCCAAATTTTGTACTCACGCATGATGTCCTTAGATTCTTTGTTGCTTGCTAGGGATGTATATGTTTTTAATATTTCCATTCCAACCATCTCTATTCCATACAGCTGAGCAACCCGATTATCATTATAATTTCTCATAATTTCTCAGCACTCCAGATTTTGTGCCACTTAAGCTCAAAGTGTTTGATAAATCAATATTACGATTGACTGAAGGGAAAGGTCCTATATTTTTTCATTTATGCGATAACACATCACGTCCGCACGAAAATGCCGAGTAAACTATATCTTTGAAGAGCATGTCCTCATTCTTTGCACTAATGGTAAGTAGGCTACAGAAAATATAATTAACATAATAAGTGGAAACAGTTTCTTCTAGTGGATAGTTCCTTGATTCTGGTTGTGAATTGTAGAACTTAATAAAAGCAGATGCTCTAGCTTCGTCAAGATTTTTCAAGAACAAACTTTGTCATTATAATTAAATGTATAATGTAGAAGTCATATTTTTCCATTTTCCGGTCAGAAAGAGTGGCTAAGACAAAACAGATGTCATTAAGCATCTTCGTCATGCTATAGTTGAATTATTTATCTGGATTATTATAAAGTTCTTCAAATAGTCTTTTTACAATATATCATTGACTGGCAAAAAAAAATCCCCTTTTCATTATTTTTATTAGATGTTGCTATAGTCTCACCTTGAAAAAATAATGTATTGTTAACCTGCGTGCAAAGGAAATACATTGAAATCGAAATTATTAACTTGTGTACAAAGGAAAAGAGTATTAATGTGATGGTAAATCGAGTATACAAACTATACAGGATAATCGAAAATGACCAAGATATGATCTTCCTCGGCAGAAGACATGAGGTTATAAAGAAAGTTGAAAAAGTATGAGAGAAAAGTGTTTTGAATCGGAGTTAAATGCTTGAAGTAAAACTACGGCAACATATACAACCAACAATTTTCCCCATTTGAACTTCGTTTTTCTAACCATTTTTGTGAAAGTAAAGAACAAATAATTCGCAATACCATTATTGATTGGTATTTTTTATTTATTTTATTTACACTTCAGGTTCTAATTATGTTTTGTGAGCAAACTTACCTACAATTTATAAAAAATTTTTACAAAATTTTGATTATTTCTATATGTAAAAGTATTTTTGATTCTTATATACTATTAAAAATGATGCTAAATGATCTTAATCTCAAGTATACATTGCATCTACTGTAAAAGTTTCAGACCAATTTCTTGAGAACTGAGTAAATGTAACTAATTTTGTTTTAAAAATAAAATTTCCAATTACTCATTCAATTTGTGTTTTAAAAAATCTCAAACTTTTATAGTAGATGTACTGTATTCTCTAGAATAAGATTACTTAGTATCATTTTCAGTGATCAGTAAGCAAAAAAATATTTTTATATGCAGCTATAATCAACTGACAAAAAATTCTCAAGATTAAATAAAATTAATTTAACATATCAGCTAATTATATCTACAAATAAAAATATTTTATTTGCTTACAAACAATTAAAAATGATAATAAGTAACTTTATTCTAGAGAATATAGTGTATCTACTGTAAAATTTTGAGATTTTTAGAGCATAAATTGAATGAGTAATTAGTGATTTTAGTTTAAATTATTAATTATTTATATAATTTATTTTTTAAAAATCTTAAAATTTTACAGTAGATGCATTATGTTCTCTAAAATAAAGTTATTTAGTATCATTTGAATAATTTATAAACAAAAAAATATTTTATTTGTATCTATAATCAGCTAACAGGTTAAATTAATTACATTTGATTTTAAAAATTTTTTTTATGTCAATTAATTGTAGCTGTATATAATACATATAAAAATATTTTTTTGCTTACTGGTCATTGAAATGATACTATGTAACCTTATTTTAGAAAATACAATATATTTGTTGTAAAAGTTCAAAATTTTTAAAACACAAATTGGATAAGTAATTAGTGATTTTATTTTAAAATTATTAATTACTTATCTAATTTTTTTTTAAAAAATCTCAAACATTTATAGTAGTTACTGTTAATTTTATTTCTTTACATATATTATTATTTTATTATTATTATTATTATATTTATTAGTATATTTTATTAGTTAGATTTCTTTATCTGTATTACATTTATATTAGAATTATTTTGTTTATAAGTAACAGATGTAAATCATTTTTGTAACCAATTGTAACGTGAGGTTGACACCTCTGGTTAATATCTCTGGTCGACACCTCTGGTAAATACCTCTGGCACAAATGACTCATTAGCAAAAATAATTTATAGAATATCCTGAAATATGACAGAAATTTCCAGAGCTTTCTTGAAATTAATAATTATAGTTTTACAAAAGGATAATATTTTTACATAAATAGAGGTAACTTTTGTCCTTAATAAAAGAACAGTTAGAACTCAATTATATTCTGAACTTAATAATTATAATAAATTATTAATAAAAATCTTTGTGACAAATAATAATTTAACTTTTTGATTTCTTAGTGAAATACTTTCTTAATAATACCTTACTTCATGATCTCAGTATTATTCTGTTTATAATTAACCTTACTTTGTAATCTGAATTAATTATCTTAATTCTGTGTGAATTCTTGAAATTTCTATGTGAAACTTATAATATTCTTTGCGAATAGCTGTGAACTTAGTATAAAACTCTTTATCCCTTTAAATCCTCACACCTTTAACTTTTTTTGAACAAATTTACAATACCAAATCTTTTATCTTTTATATTTATGATATAAACTATTCAACTTTAACATATTCGTCTAATTACTTTGTAATCTTTTAAACAATAGTTTCCTTATTATTAGTTGTTAGTTTATTGTATTTAGTAAAGGTAATTATAATCAACAATTTGGTGGTGACTATGAGATTCGATAATTCCATTATTTAAATTATACTTGCACGCAAAATTATTTTAAAACCCGAAATCTAAAATATAAATACCTCAAAATTGATTCCAAAATACTATTTCAAAATTTTGATATTTCAAAATTAAAATGGAAGTTAAAATTAAAATAAAAGTCGAAATTAAAATAAAAGTTGAAATTAAAAATAGGAGTCGAAATTAAAAATAAAAGTCAAAATAAAATGAAGATCGAAATTAAAAATAAAAGTAAAAATTAAAATAAAAGTCAAAATTAAAATTAAAATTAAAATTATTAGAAAAAATTTTTAAAATATATATTTTCAAAAGTTATATAAATTTTTTTTTTTAAAAAAAATAATATTAATACATACTGTTGACCAAGATCCGACCTTCAAGAAATACAATTAACTATTAGCTAAAAATACTGTAGCTAAACTAAAATATAATAAACTACTAACTAATCTATATTAAAAAGTATAATGTTTGAAAAATTTAGATGTTACAGATTTGTTCGAAAGAAGTAAGGCTATGAGATTTTTATAAGGTTTGACTATACATGCCACCCAAATTTTAAAATAATTTGAGATTTGGATGGTAGAATAGGCCCAAATTATTTGGGCTTTAAAGGTCAAAAAAGTCCAAAGCCCAAATTATTTTTGGCAATTCAAATTATTTTTGACAGCCCAAATTATTTTTGACAGTTCAAATTATTTTTGGCAGCTCAAATTATTTTTGGCAGTCCAAATTATTTTTGGCAGCGGAAAAAATATTTGAAACCAATTACTTATTTAAAATTTGTGACACAATAGATCT